CTGGGACTTGATGGAGGCACCAGAAGGAGCGAATGTTACATTTATTTTTATTTAAAACTAGAGGCCTGGTGCACAAAATTTGTGCACTCGGGGGGGGGGGGGGGCGGGGGAGTCCCTCAGCCCAGCCTGCTCCCTCTCACAGTCTGGGAGCCCTCAGGGACTGTCCGGCTGCCGTGGAGGTGGGAAAGGCTCCGACCACCGCCACTGCACTCACCAGCCATGAGCCCGGCTCCTGGCTAAGTGGCGCTCCCCCTGTGGGAGCACATTGACTACCAGAGCGCAGCTCCTGCATGGAGTGTCTGGCCCCTGGTGGTCAGTGAGTGTCATAGCGACCAGTCATTCTGCCCTTCGGTCGATTTGCACATTAGCCTTTTATTATATAGGATGGCCTTGTCTATTTGACAAACACATATTCCAGCACTGTTCTCAGTGCTCTGTGAGTATTAACTGATTTAATTCTCGTAACAATAGAAGATAGGCAGTATTATTTTCCCCTTTCACAATAAGAAAACTGAAGCACAGAGAGGCTAACTAACTTGCCCAAGGTTACAAGTAAATGGCCAAGAAGTGGTAGATACAATTTCTAGTCAAGGCTCTCCAGCTCCAGAGTTCTTGTAAGAGAAGTTATCAAGGCCTTGAGGCTTCAGTCACCACGTTTGCAGTTTTGGGAGATGAGACTAATCAGCAAATCCTATTCACAGCAGGTGACACATTTTACTTTTCCACAGCAGTTTTAACTATGTTCAGGGAGGATAAATATACCAATGTTTTCTTTCCCTTTATACTTCTGTATATTTTCTCTAAGAAGCTCATATTAATAGAATCAGAAAAGATTGTATTAAAATAATAGGAGCTGCAGAGGGATTTTTTTTAAAACCTTGTTTCAATGGATGCATATCTTTCTCTATTTACCGCACAGTTAAATGAGAAGATACAATAAAAAATGATTACAGACAAACTGACGTGAAGCACTCTGCTTGGGGTGTAAATGGAATTATCATAAAATTTACAGTATTTTCCAAAGAACGATTCCTGAGAGAAAAGGGAGCACTATTAATTATACACTGACAACAGGCTTAGGTTAGGACTCCCTTAAGCACATCTGTAACAAGCTTAGGTGCCTCAAGGAGCCTCTTTCTTAAGACTAGAGTTGATATAAATACAAGAAGAAGATTCCTACCTGCTCCATTCACACGACCAATCATTGTTGTCACCTTCTTACTATTCGTTATAGATTAAGTCTACTTATTAAATTCATTATTTATTTGTCATTATTATTGCTTAGATGTTATTACTAACTACTGGTTAAACTGGATATCAGCAAACTGCACGTTATGACATACGAGTATTGGAGCTACTCAGGGCTCATCAGTCCTTAGGATGAGAAATAGTAACAGAGCCTTCAGCCTCATTTCAAGAATTTGAAAAGAAATTTTAAAAATGTTAAGTATAAGTGAAACCTAATAAGAAACCACTTTATAAGTGATTAAATGCTATATTTATAATCATTAAAAAGAAATCTCTTCATTCCTATTCTAACTTAAATGAACTAGGAAAGAAAAAACATCTAAGTATCCTCTTCTACTTCCTAAGCTACTTTTAATATTACAAAAATACTAGATTTGATGTGGAACATGTGCAAGATGGAATGGCAAAATGGAAATACAAGGGAATATACTGTACCTTGTTTTACCTCTAAGAAACACACACCTGACAAAAGGCAATTTTCACATCCAAGGTTGGTTCACTGCAGTAGTACAATAAATGGAGGCTCATAAATACCTATAGAGAAAAAGGAGGGGTGTGACTTTTCAAATCACCTAATTATTCATTATTTAATTGCACAAACTTTAATATAATTTGAATTATACACAAGGTGTCATGCACAACATATTTCAGCATGATCCTTATTCAGACCACTAATAAGTACTTTTCACAAATTATAAATATTAAGTAAAAAGAAGATTAAAATGTCCTATCTTCTATAATGATCAACATCATTACAATCATAAAGAATAGATATAAGAAATTGAGTACACATAATAAATTAAAGTATATCCTATCATACAACAATTTCAGTTCTAGACATCTAATTTTAAAAATTTCTCAAACATTAGTCTCAAGAGCAGGAGTCCTCAAACTATGGCCCGCGGGCCACATGCAAATACAAATATTGTATTTGTTCCTGTTTTGTTTTTTTACTTCAAAATAAGATATGTGCAGTGTGCATAGGAATTTGTTCATAGTTTTTTTTTAAACTATAGTCTGGCCCTCCAACGGTCTGAGGGACAGTGAACTGGCCCCCTGTTTAAAAAGTTTGAGAACCCCTGCTCAAGAGGATATAGATAGATAGATAGATAGATAGATAGATAGATAGATAGATATTTATTCTAGAAAACAGGGACTATTAAATAAAATGTAATTTGTAATAAAATTATATTCAGGAATTAGAATAATTAAATTAGAGTTTAAGGAATCAACATAGATAAAATTTTCAAACATGATGCTGAGTGGGGAAAAAGCAAGTTTCAAAAGGGTATGAAAACCACTATATTATTAATGTAAACTTTAAAAATATACAAAATGATAATATATATCACTTTGTTAAATAACCATATTACCATAGACTAAAGAAAATAGGGTACTATATTAACATGGTTTAATCTTGATGACGAGTACAATATTTCAATTATATTATTTTCTGTATGTTTAAAATATTTTATAATTCTGTAAAGTTTTAAGGAGAAGACAAAATTTATCTAATGGTATAAATGCTAAGTTACTTGGAAATGATGAGGCAGCATCACAGAAACCCAGATGAAATCTTATCAGTTCAATTAAACACACTTTGTTGAATGTTTATTGTGTGTATGACATAATTCTGTGAGATGAAAGAGTTTTAAAACCACATTGACAAAAGACTTGTTTCTGGCAATATGAACGAGTAGATATCCTGAAAACCACTCTCAAGGCAAAACTCCTAAAAAAGGTAGATGGAATATACAAAATATCTTCTAAAGTGCATAGCTGAACTGCCCAAAAAAGGCAAGAAAAGTTCTGAGGTGCTGAAAACAATGTGAAAGGATCCATGCAGAGAAGTCAATGAGTGGAAGCTGCCGCTTGGCCCAGGCCGTCTGCTGATGTCTGGAGACTAGAACTTGAGTTCTTAAAGGGCAGCTATGCAGAGAACAGGAAACAAAGCTTCGAATCCACCTATGGTGGGAAATCCCACTGGCAACCCCTGCAAAACATTTCCCATAGGAAGTTCTAAACACACCCCTGAAGCAAGCTAAACAATCCCGGAAGGAAGGTCTGAATTTCAAGAAAAAAACGTTTTACATTGGAACTTGTGCAGATTTTTAAATTTAAAGAAGAATAAAAGGACAAGAAACTGTAAGACATTCCTGAAGAAAAACAAGGTGGGCATTTGTCTATGGGGAGGTGGGGGGAAGCAGGGAATTGCTCTACCACAGATTGAGATTTGTTTTTTAAAGCTCTAGTAATTAAAGTTATGTAGGGTTGATGCAGAGATAGACTAACAATTAATAGAATCGAGAGCCCCGAAACACACATACATATATGGCAGAGGTTCTCAACCTGTGGGTCGCGACCCCTTTGGCGGTCGAACGACCCTTTCCAGGGGTCGCCTAAGACCATCCTGCATATCAGATATTTACATTATGATCATAACAGTAGCAACATTACAGTTATGAAGTAGCAAAGAAAATAATTTTATGGTTGGGTCACAACATGAGGAACTGTATTTAAAGGGCCAGAAGGTTGAGAACCACTGATATATGGAAACCTGATCATATTATATTTTGTTAATATAGTCACGTAAATCTGATTATATTAAAGATATCTCAGAATAAAGAAAGTGTGCATTAAGTCCTGCTGAGACAATTGGTCATTAATATGAGGTAGGGGAAGGGAGAAAGCACATCCCTGTTGGGAGACAATTCTCTGTGGGCCTCTCACATTTCTGCATGTGTTGCAAACAGAAGCGTTGGATGCCTTTATTCCAGACTATCTTCCTAAGGGTGGTTATACAACAAACAGCCTTGGAAGAGAAAGATAGTGTCTCCCTCTGGAGCAGAAGGCCAACTTTGATTACTTCCCAGTATAACATAGATAAGATGTCCCTCTGCGGCAAAAAGTAAGGCATGTTTACTATCCTATATAATAAAGAGGTAATATTTTAATTAACCCTCACACCCTCACAAGATGGTTGCCTACAACCAGGCCGGCAGGGGGGTTAGTGAGGGACAACCAAATGACTGAACAGCAGGCTGCATGGGGCGACCAGGCTGGCAGGGGGGCAGTACAGGGTGACCAGGCTGGCGGGGGTTGGGGGGGCTGTTAGGAGCGACCAGGCCGGCAGGAAGGGGGCAGTTGGGGGTGACCTGGCCAGCAGTGGGGTCAGTTAGGGGTGACCAGGCTGGCAGGGGGTGTCAGTTAGTAGCGATCAGGCCGGCATGCAGAGGCAGTGAGGGGCTTCAGGCTGGCGGGGGGTGGGGGCAGTTAGGGGTGACCAGGCAGGCTGGCAGGTGAGCAATTAGGAGCAAGAGGTCCAGGATTGTGAGAGGGATGTCTGACTGCCTGGGATCCGAGGGGTCCCGGATTGGAGAGGGTGCAGGCTGGGCTGAGGGGAACCCCTCCCCCCCATACATGAATTTCATGCACCAGGCCTCTAGTCCCTTATAAAAGATTTGAATTCCCTTAGGTTGGAGTTCCTCTTCTATAACATAACTACATGTGCAGTTGTCACTTGACCTTTGAGCCACCCTGTGAGAATTGGGGCCTGAGAAATTGTCTTTAGTATTTATATTTTTTATGCTATTACAAATGGCATAATTTTAATTTTCATCTCCCAAATTCTCATTTCTAAAAAAAAATGATTTTTGTAGTAAATGACCTTATATTTTACAATAAATTCATGTGTTCAATCTAATAAATTCTTGGTGGACACAGAAACTGTCTGCAAGAGAAGACAGTTTTTACTTTTCTTTCCTAATTGCTTTTTCAATCTGCTTTTTCTTGCCTAATTGCAGTACCATGTTGAATAGAAATAATGAGATGATGATTATGTTTGCTGATGACCTCAGATGTATTTATGTGTTTACATTTAAGGTAATCATGAATGTTATTGAGTTTAAATCTACCACTGTACTATTTGTCCTGTATTTTACACTTATATTCTTTTTCTTAATCCATTTATTCTCCTACCCAGCCTTTTTTTAAAGAACCATGTAGCTTTTTGTTTTCTATTTTATTTTATATAATAGCACCTTAGTTATACTTCTCTTTTTTCTTCTTCCTACTGGTTATTCTAGAGTATATCACCTGAATTTTTAATTTTTATTAATCTAGCATTAAACAATATTATTCCACTTCACATATAATTTTAAAAATTTACAATAGTATACTTCAATTTCCCCTCTAGTCCTTTGATATTGTTGTCATATATTTTACTTATACATATTTTATAAACACCATAACACATTGATATTATTTTATATTTATTCACATGTTTTCAGTTATAGTCCTTTTATACCTTACTTTTAAACTTTTAAGTTTTTTTAAACATTTATGTTTCTACAAATGGTTTTATAATTTTATTTCCATTTTCCTAATGCTCATTTCCAGCATTTAAAATATGTTGTTCCATTGTCGTTTCATGATCTTGTCGCATGCATTAAATGGGGATACTTTTTCCTCAGTCTTCTCACAGCACTTTGTTTATACTTTTAGTATGAATACCTTACAATATCGTGACTTTTCATTCATATGTCTGTTCCATACGACAGTATTACCTTCTCGGGGAAAGCGATTATGTTTTATTCATGTTTAAAACCTCAAGGCCCAGCATTATTCTTAGTATATAGTTACTGTCAAGCAAATGTTTATTAAATAAAAGGAGAATCCAATTTAAACCTTGCCTTCTATAGCCCAAATGTAAGTATCTTCATTATCTCCTCATATTGAGACCTGTCAATTTTCAATAACTTTGATGGTAACCAATGAAGAATGAGGAGTTTGCAGCAGTGGAAGATGTGCTGCCCAGCAGGACTCTCTTTGTTCTCCGCTGCTGACCTGGACATGTGGGAAATAACATCCAGCCCACCACCTGAAGTGAGCAATGTATTTTAATTTTTAATGAATGAATAATCTTGCTATGAAAAACAAGCATCCTGACCTTCCCTGGTTTGCATTATAAAGACGTCAAATATAACACCATGACTAAGTCACTCAGCCACTGCAGAACCTTCCACAAAGGGACAAAAAGAAAATGTTCAGTATGATAATCTCAGTGAATTACAGAAATCTAGTTTGGTAATTATATTTCTTGATAGCGTGGCAGAGAGCATTTGGCATCAATGCGTAGAAACAACATACATGGCAGGGCATTATCTCAATATTAGTCTAAAGTGAAATTAGTGACAATATCTTGGTGCGATATAGGACCCGTGAGGAGTTTGCAAATGGGAAGGGATGATAATTGGGAGTTTAGTGCTTTCAATTACTGGTTGTTCTCCTGGGAGAAGCCCCATATGTGCATTCCTTGCTGTGTACTATTCTGAGATTTTCCTCATTACATGCCTGTATGAGTTAATGGTTACTCTGAGCAAAGCAGTAGGCCAAGTTGTATGAATGAAATACACTTAAGAATTTATTATGTTGAACTGGTGCAGAGCAGCTGCTATAAAAGAATGCAACTACGGTGTGCTTTAATAGCTTAGATCAATACTTAGATTTTTTTTTGTATGAGAGATGTGCCAACT